CAGCTTGAGAAGGCAGCAGAAGCAGCACGGGGATCAGATGTGCTCACCTGGCACCCAGCAAGGCGACAGAAAACAAGATGGGGCCCCGCGAGCTGCAAAGCTCTTCTGCATCATTTGTGCTGAGGGGAGCCCACGTCAAAGCCCACCGAACCACCCCCACTCAGCACACAGCTCCCATCTCCGAGCACCACAGATCAGTTTGCTGCAGCCCAAAAAGGAGACGGCAGGGACAGCTGTTGCACCTCCCCTCGGGACAGCTGAAAATAAACTGCAGACTCAGACCCTGGGATTTTTCCGGGCACCTTCACCTCGCTCAGGCCGTGCAGCCAGCAGGGGGGTCAGCCAGATCGCTCACGGAGCAGAGCCTGCAGTGTGTGCGTGGGGCTGCAGCTCCCCAGCACAGCAGGGGTTTCTCCATCCCAGCCTTGTGCAGAAACACCACTTGTTAACAAGCACAGCAGATACCTCCAAGCATTTAAAGCCCCCTGCCCTGTATTTATATGGCCACTCAACGCAGCATTCCCCTCTCCCAGCCAGCTTAAAAATACTGCTCTAATACACACAGCCTGGCACGTCTTTCTGACTTACGGTAATAATCATCCTCGTTTGACAGGCAGCACACCAGCCCCACAGCCTGATATTTTAATATTAGCCAGCTATTATCCCAATATATTACAACACGTTGCAGTTAAGATGCCTCACGAGTCCCATAGCACCTCATCTCAATTCAAAGTCTCCGTACCTGTTGGCAGCAGAAGCAGCTCCCAGCCCCTAACGCTCACCGTTCAAATATGCAAGAGGTGATAGAAATCACAATGCTAATACCAGGATGCTGCCCAGCTACAGCGCAGTGCTGCGCATAAACACCATCCTTAGCATTTCAGTGGGATTCAGCCACGTTAACATCAGCTGCAAGACACGAGCCCGGGGCAGCAGCCCTTTCCAGGCCCTGCATTCATGGCCCATTCCCGTGTTTTTGCTGAGGCAGCTCTCAACCTTGTCAAACAGTGTTGATTCAGACAAGCATGCAGCATTAACGACGTGTCTCCATCTCTAATGCAGGCTCGAGAATCGCATTTGTCAAAGTCAGAAAGCTTCTGGCACCTCCTGCATACAACCAGCTTCCCCCCAGGTCCCTTTGCCTCTCACAGGAGCGGAGCTCTGCACGGCCCAGCAGTGCTGTGGACACGAGGAGCTGCCCCTGCACAGCTCCAAAGGACCAGGCACATCCCTTCTGCCTGCTGCCACATAGGAAACTGCAGCTGAACCCTCTGCCAGCTCACTTGTTCACTGCTTGTGGAAGGATCAGAGCTCGACAACCTGATCTCTAGATGGGCAAATAGAGGCTGAGGAAGGAAATGATGAAGATGCACATTTCCCACCAGAAATACCCACCTACTTACTAAAGCACTGCTTCCTCCCAGCACCCAGTAGCTGAATCCTGCTGCTGATGGCTTCGGTTTGCAGAAGCCTTACAGAGGAACGGCCCCGAAACAAAATAAAGGCTTTCCCTGAGCGCTGCAGAGAGCAGCAGCTCCGACTCATTTCGCTTCAAGGTTAGTTTGTTTAGTCTGGAGTTAATTGTGCCCACTGAGGAGACTGTTTTGAAACAGAGACACAAAGGACAGACAGCTGAATGAACCCATGGGGACAAAGCATGAAGCCAGAAGTGGGACTGAGTAAAGCAGGAGAGTAAATGCATTAGGTTGGTGAAGCTGCACTTCGGATGGGAACCAGGTTTGCCTGCCACGTTTGTGCTGTATGTCAGCACCTGAGCTTCCTCACGTCAGGCAGAGGACACTGTTGTACCCCATTTATGAGGGAAGGCTGAAGTAAAGCACTGCAGTTACCCTATTGATAAACCCAACTCCTGACAGCATCAGATTTCAGATTGATGAGCAATATTAAGTACAGCACAGGCTGCAACTTCTACTTTCATTAACAGAAGCACGTATTTGGAAAGAAACTCTGCAGAGCACAGTGGAAAAGGTCTGGCTGTCCCCAGATAACCTTCTCTTCTAAGGATTAATGTATTTATAGACAATGCAGCCACCCAGTTCTAAAAAACACAGCCTGATGTATGGCATCGCTGCCCTCCGTTAAGAGACCTGAAGCTGAATTACCTGAAAGAACAGCTGTGGTGGTGCCCCAAACACAGCTCTGTAACACCAGGAAGGTCTTTGCCAGCCTCGCTCGTTCTGTGGTGGAGAGTTCTCACTCAATGCACAGTGCTACAACTGCTCTCTCCAAGGCACGAGCTGGCTTTTGCCTTTTGGTGACCAACTCCTCCCAGGACCTGCTGTGCAGGATCTGCGTGAGCAGCCACTGCCCTTCTGGCAGCAATGCTGGCTCCATCCTTGTTATCCTGCAAAGAAACCCACTCTGCTTCAGCCTCCCTGCAGCTCCTACAGAGCAACGAGCAAACCTCTGCTCCACGGACCGTCCCAGCTGGACAGCCAGCAGCCCACAGCCCACCTCTGGACTTTTTGGTCAGCAACCGCGTTACCTTTTGCTTCCCCAGGCCTACACACCCTGTGTCTGAAAGCAAATAAAAGGCCAAATTTGCTTAACAGCAATCAACAACTGGCCGCCTTCCGCTGACGTGGGCACTGCTTTGGTGAGCTCTGCAAAGCAACCAGACGCACTCACAGTTTTACAGCCCTGACTCAGGAACAGGACTCGGTTAATTTGGGACTGCCAGCGAGGCTCCAGAATCACTTGGCTGAGGCAGAATCGCTGTGCAAAGTACCCAGCTTCTAACAGAGCAGCTTCTGAACGGCTGTGCGTTGTCCTGCAAAGCCATCAGAAGAGCCAGACTGCTTCAATGGGACTGCAAATGACAGCCCTGGGAGCAGATTCATCAGCAGTTCAGTTCTCCTTGGAAAACACAAGAGGAAAACAACCGGTACATCATCAAAGGGCAGACGAAGGATAAACAATCTTTTATGTTGTCATCCTCTCTGAAAGAGCCCTTAAAGACAGAACAGCACTGCCTACAAGGTTGGGAGATGACTTCCCATCTGTAAGATCGGCCTCCTGTTTAACAGAAGCAGATGCTGAGTCTGACAAATTAAGACAATTGACTTCATTAAGCCTTCCATTACCTACACAGACATGCACTGGTACAGAGCAAGCCTCACTAAGTTCTTTAAACAAAGGAAAAAAAAAAAAAGATTACCCACCCTTTTTGCAAAGCAAACTCTTTCTGGTAGCTGCACCTCTCTGCTCCCTGCGTGGCTGCTTGGTTTTACCAATATTAAACCAAAGTCAATGCTCACCATCATCTGCTCCACTCTGCATAATGCTCAGAGGAGATATTAAGAGAATCCTCCCATGCAGTCCGCTAGTCAAATCACCTCAGCTAACGCTTTCCCATAATAGCAGAATTCCCCATAACATGGGACCAAAGGTATTTCAGACCTGATCGGAGATAACAAAGTGACAGCAAACATTTTCATCCAACACAGGCTTACAGCATGAAGATACATGCAGAACCTGTCACCAAACACATCCCGTCCCTTTTGGGTGCACAAAACCTCTCTTCAGCCACACATTGCTTCAGTACTGCTACAACACACACATGAGAAAACTTCAGTGAGACAAGGGAACAAAGTTGACATGAGATAGAGAAAACCAACTTCCTTCCTGAGAGGTTTCAGAGGTAAGAGCCCATCTCTGGGAGTGAGCATCTGCTCAACATCTCATTCACCTGAAGGCTCTGCAGAGCACCAGGGCCCAGGTGCTGCCATCATCTGATGGCTGCTAAGACACAAATTCTTCCCATGTACAGAGCTGTATTTGTGGTCTGCCTGGTGATTACTGCTTGCCACACACTCAAGAAACGTGACCTTGCAGCAATAATTGCCCATTGATCAATGTCTGACGGATCCAACGCACCCCATGATGCGCTCCTGGCCGGGCGTCCCGTGCTGCACAGCAGGGATGTGCTGACATTTCTGGGCAGAATCCACCACAGCTCCCGCAGCAAAACCCCCCCAGGGGCTCCCAGCTCCCACCTTAGCTTCAGTCTTCTCCCTGTTCCAATCACCTCCCATTACTGACTCTGACATCTGTAGTTTGCTTAATTACATGACAACAAACTACTGAAGAGCAGACTGTGAGCTCCGTGCCATTTGCCTATTTTTGGAGCTCAAGAAGAATATGAAGACCTCTGCCCAGCAGTGACAGCCACAAGCAGGTGAGCTTGTGAATGGAGCTTTTCGACGTCCCAGTGCTTCAGTTTGATGCCAAACAAGCAAAAAAGAGAGCAGTAACCGGGTTGGGTGGTTGTTTGTGCTATTAAAGCACCGGTGCCTACAACGATGTTATTACAGGTGTTATTCCCAGGCTGTGCTCTCCCCATCCCATGGCTACACTCAGCCCACGACACCCCCAGCTCACCAAGCCCTCCTTCTGCCCGGCGTGCCGGCAGGTCGATCTCGCTGTCAGACGCAGTGCTGTGGGATGGGATTCCAACGGGCTGCCCCCATTTGTGGAGGCGTTCGAGGCCGGGTGGGCGCAGCGCAGCCACAGCAGGGTTGGAAACGAACAGCAAAGCCGTTCTACAGCCGCAATTTCACCAACCCTGCTATTGGTTCCGAACCGGCCGCGATTTCCCGGCACCGAGGGGCAGCCCTCAGTACCGCGCAGCGCCGTGCGAGCAAAACCCAGCGCAGGTTTCCCTGCAGGCTTCGCCGTTCTGCAGCCGCGGGGTCCCGAGCAAAATCCGCGCGTCCCAACGGGAGCCGGGCGGCTCGGTGCGGCACCGCCCGCCCTCAGCACAGCCCTGCACGGGGCCGTTCGCGGCTCGCAGGGCAGCGCTGTGACACCGCCGCGGCTCCCGCACATCCCGGCTCCGCTCTCATCACGGCGCTCCGTCCCGCCCCGCACCGCCGCTCCGCGCGGTCCCGACACCGCTCTGTTTACAAACAGCCCGCGGGGCGCCGCGCGTCCCGTCCGACCCGACCCGATCCCACCGACCCGTCCGGTCCCGCCCGCACCTGGTGCAGCGCCGTCAGCCCATCCACGTTGGTGGTGTCGACGCGGGCGCCGCGGCCCAGCAGCCGCTTCACCTCCTCGGTGTCCCCGCTGGAGCAGGCGGCCAGGAACACGGCGCCCTCCTCGAACCGGACGCGGGATCCCCCGGCCCCTCGGTGCCGCCCTCGGCCGCCCCCCGCCGCCACCGGCTCCTGCTCGGTCAGGGAGCCCTTCCAGCGCCGCAGCTGCTCGGCCCGCCGCAGCCGCGCCGACTCGGCCCGCTTCCCGCCCAGGTGCTCCGGCTCCGACATCGCCGCCGCCGCACTGAGGCGCAGGGAGCGGCGCGGAGCCTCAGCCCGGAGCGGGGCGCGGCGCCCCCGCCGCCATCTTCGCCGCTACGCCGCCGCCGCCGCCGCGCCCCGAGCGCCCGCGCCCCGCGGCATCCCGGGACTTGTAGTTCCCGCGGGGGGCGCCGCACCTGCCCCGCGCCACCGCGCGGCTCCCGGCAGCCCCCGCGCGCGGCCGCACCTGGGCGCGCGCCGGACTACGACTCCCGGCATCCCCCGCGCGCCGCGCCCGTCCCCGCCCCCCGCCCGCCTTCCC